TGAAAATTAATTACTTCCCACACCGAAATTATCATCCATAACCATTCCAGTGCTTCCCTTATCAAAGATCATTATTTTTTAAATCGTATTACTGGTTCAATGAAGAATATCTTTTAAAATATATTTTTTAAAAATTGAATTTTTGGGGATACGTCACGCCGAATAGTTGACATACAATAACAATTCAGAAGATTTGCACAATTCAAATTCAATTTTAAGATGAAAAGTTTTTAATTCCCTCCCAATTATAAACCATATCCTCTGCGAAATTAGTCAAGCCCTGGTAACTGAGATAAATGGGAATTCTTTATTCTATTACATATTGATCTCTAATCTGGCTTTATTAGTTATGCATGAGTGACACGGTTTCAATGGTTCCAGTTTCTATCTTGTATATTATAAGAGAGAAACAATTGATTTTTCTAGAATTACGTACTGTATTGCAGGTCTATAAATTTTCTGCACGCTAAATTGGCTGAATCAGTTATAATGCAATTGCTTTATAGAATGCAGAATGCACCAAATAGGAATTTTTCAATTAGCCCAAACCATGGTTTTATCCAAAAATCCCAATAAAGCCTGTGTAAAACTGCATACCAAATCTTGAACAATCTTTTGTTTTTATACACCCGGGGTATTCTGAGAGTTAAATAGGAGTAGCTTCAATGGATGAAAGATTCTGTAAGTGGACAGTAAAATTAAGTGGAGAGTATAATTATGTATAATTAAAACAATTACCTCTCAAGATTTCCGACTTTTAGAACGGACTTTGTTTGTTTATTTACACTCAGACCATACAATGGTATATGAGGTACAGGAACATAATTACATATATACAAAATACAAAGTCAAGTGAGGAAGAGTAGTATCAATTAAATAGTTACTAAAAGCAGGCCAATATCTTTTTAGCTAATAAAGACAGTTTAAATAGTGAATCAACATTTGTGATGGACATAATTTTCTCAAATTTATAGGTATTTACATGAAAACAATACGACTCAATGTCTGTTTTGTAAAAGGTCGGAATGGAGTGGTTTTTATAACATTACTAGAGTTTAAATTGTTCGCATTTTTCATTCTCCCTAAAACAATGGTTAATATTTATGACGTTGCTACGTCCGGTTATATGCTTTGAGACTTTGTAATTATCTGTATCCGTTTTGTATTGGCAAGTCATTAATTGTTTGACAGCAAATGATCCTTTTTGAAATCATTTGAAAGAAAAACTTTTAAAATAACTTTATTCAACAAAGTTGGCAAGTTTTTTTTTTCAGTATAAAATATCTATTTAGAAACTAATAATGATGGAATATTCAATCAAAGTAGCCTTGACAGAAACATCTATTTGTATTTAAATAAGTTTGCCACATTGAATTTTACATTTTGCTGAATTAAAACGAACACTTAACAAAAATTAATCATGTCCTTAATATCTATCATGGTTACAATGTACGAATGAGCATGTTCTTTCCTTGCATATTTAAAAATCCTTCATATAATTAAACACAAAAATATTTAAACATCGCCTCAAACAAAGGTATGTAAATACTGGGTATTTAATATCCCCTCATCATCATCATCATATTTCATCTTCCTCTCCTAGACTTTAATATGACGCATTAACTGAGCATATTTTAAGCGACATACCGTACATTTACAATACTAGTATACCGAAAGGTTTTTCAAGAGACACGATGAATATATGTCACTTTTTGATCAGTTTCATTTATAAGCACTTTGCAGTGCCTTTTCATGACTATTTTAAAGCTTATTCATACTGTAACGTAAAGACATTTCAAAAACCATATACAATGATATATTTAATCCATGAGTAAGAGGGGACAACTTCAATTTGAAAGCCTTTCTTTTCATAAAAAAGGTTTGAAACATAAAAAATATAAATTTGTCGCTTCACTACTATCAATCACGTTTTAAGGAAGAGTTACCGAGGCAGAAGAGAACTATATACACAAAGTCAGCTAGTTAATGAAATATTTAGAAAACCTGGCTAAATAAAAGAGTACTCCATGATATGCTCAGCCACTGTCTCCCAGCATCATATCCAGTAAACAGTCAAACCAAGCGTCTACCTTTGCATAATTAATTTTGATATCATGAAGATATGGCAGATTCTTCGCTTTTAGAATTGAGGGATATTAAGCGTGATAATGTCTAGGCCTCATCATACAAACATGGCAACGAGGCGCTCGAAGAAGTCTCTAACTAAAACAACGAACATGAAAGGGCAAAGTAAGAAGACTTCACGTATCGGCACAACCACTAAGGTATTCTTAATTGACTTTTAGTAACATTTTGATAGGACCTCAGATGCTTGCATTGTAAAAGCAAAATTTCTCATTCGTTCAAATTCGATATTATTTACCTCCTTGAACATTTTTTGTCTTATCACTTATAATATTCATTGTTTTCACAATTTATCGAATTAGAAATAATGTTTTAAATGGTTCTATTTTTTAATACAAAAGTTAAAAACAAAATGACAACAGTGGATTATAAAAAACAAGAAGAAGGTTAATTAATCAATACTAGTAATCCATGACAAAATACAATTAAAGATTGGTTAACTTTTCAACCGAGCGAACAATATTTTACAATACAAACCTATTTAAGTTTACTTTTTAAAAATATGGTTGCTAAGGAAGTAGTGATGACGAATACCACAGAGTCCCGCTTCACTGAAGTTTCACGGTCTTTAAAGTGACAACGCTTGGCAGCAGTCTCCGTAATAGCGCCAATGTTTCAAGGTCCTTCAAGTGAGGATGTTTCGTGACGCTCTCCGATATAGTTAATGTATGTAGAACGAGGATAATCATGTTTAAAGGAAATACTATAACAAGGAGACACAAGAGCGAAAGGAATCTTAAAAATGATCCCCCAATTCAAGGGGATGATCATGTGCACGAACAAGAGGCGAAAGTGAGTAGTAAAAACTATTGTAAAACTGATAAATAATGATTTTAAAATAAAAAAAAAATTAAAACTGGTTTGATATAACATCTGCAATTGTACCTGAAGACCGTTAAAAATTAAGAATTAGAAGAACTTTAATGTTTCAAATCATTCGATAAATTTAAAACAAAATATGAGCATTGCAAATTTTACATGTTTCAATCAATTTTTCTATGTAATGTTCGACTTAGATTAAATGCAGGTATAAAATGACAAAAATAAGAAAAGAAAACAAAAGAAGAAAAAACTCCTAAAATTGAACATTTAGGGGAGGGGAGGGGGGGGGGGACATGAAAGGCATTGTGATCAATGATAAAAACGTGTACATTTAGGGCTTGTAAGAAAAATAAATGTATTCATAAGTCTTTAATCATCTATTCCTAACCTAACAAAATAGTTTCTATTTTGTCTTAAGAGAATTTTATGTTTACATGTGTAAAAAATTTCTTAAATAAGCATTTGTACTTAAGAAAAAAAATAAAAGTAACATTGGTACAAATTTACCTTCAATCAATTAAAGAAGATTTTTACTTTAGCCAAAAGGATTTTTCTTTAAAATCTCCAATGTATGGAGAAATATCAAATCAAATGTTTAAACCAAGAAATCTCGTTTAGTTATCTTTGTTTAAGATGTAATTTTAAAAAAGAAGCATCTCAATCTTAGATTAAATGAAAATAAAATATCCATATGCTCATTACATTGTTTGAGAATAAAAAATTAATAAAAATCTACCATATTATGACCCAGTCCTTAATGACTTGCATATTGTTACAATATTTTGCATAAAAAATGACCAAGTTCATTAGAAATATTTTCTTTTAAATAACATAATGTCAAAATCCAAGTTATATTCATTCTTTGAACAGCAAAATAAAACTTGAACACAATATAGGGATAGTCCCAAATGATGTACCCTATATGCAGTTATTTTGCAAAATACAAGTTCGCTCAATAACTGCATGGTGTCTTTTTTTTAATTTAATAAAATAAAAAATCAGCAGCTGACATTTTTTTTATGGATAAACATTATTTCAAAATTTGCAGGAGTTGCGGATAAGAGATGGATACTTCTTATATAATGAAAGTGTCCAAGTTTTGTTATTGGAAACCCAAAATATTTTCGACAAATATAATAGAAATGCACAACGGTACTACGCAAAAAGGATTTTGTTGAAGCCTTAGTTTTATTTGGTGGTATAGGAGGAGTTGCAAAAAAGAGATGGGAACCTCTTATATGATAGAGGAATGATATTGAAGACCTCAAATATTTCTAAAATTAAACGTAAAAAAAGGAGTTACCAATGGCACTATTTCACATAGATTCTTTGAAGGTCTTAATTATTTTTATTTCAGTGGCTTAAGAGGTGCAATTAGATGTGGGTACTATAATAGTACCCCAGCCGGACACCATGTCACTATATACTGTTTTAAAAACTGGAATTTGCTAAATAAATTTGAGATTTCCCTGTAACAAAGCGTTGTGTGTAATTTTTAGCGATAGTTACAAACTGTCTTAGTTTGTTGTTTAGTATGGTACCTTACTTGAAATTATTCGCGTGGTGATTAATTCAATTGCAACATTCGCAGAAGATTTCATGACGTAAAAATTGCTTCGTTACAAGGCCCCCATTTTTTGTTTGAGGAAATAAACACAACAATCATTTATCCGGAATAGGCTTTATTTCTCTTGTAGAAACACCTTAATTTTAATTTCATGACATAATTAGTTAGATATATGGACTAATCCTTCAGTTTACACAGCAGTTAAAATACCCATTTCTCAGTTAACATTTGTCAGGTGTAGCGTGATTGTGTAAATTACTTCCAAAAAAATATTTAAGTGAGATTACAAGAACAGAAGTAATTTCAAGTAACTGACATAAACATTTATCCAACTGTATACTATATACTGTACTGCATAATGCATACAGTAATTCCTATACACCAAAAGCGCATCAGATATTGCAAAGCTGCATAAGTATATCTTATCCTCGTGACTGACTTTGCAATTGGTATTTTTCCTTTTCAGAGTGAAATTCCAGTCTACAGTGACGATGAGTATGAAGTGTACCCAGTACAAAGGCCACATACAGATACTTACAGGGAATATCCCCCATTTGTGATGGGAAGGTATGAACAGGCCAAAATGAATTCAGATTTCAACGAAAAGATTGAAGTACATAGAACGACTGATAGGAAAGGAAAGAGAGTGACCTTCTTTAGGAATGGTGATAAAGATTTCAAGGGAGTAAATGTTTGTATTAATCCAAAACAATTCCTGAACTTTGAGGCACTTCTTGTGTATCTGAATGATCGAATTGAAACAACGTCAGGAGTTAGATATGTGTTTTCCTTACCAGATGGAAAAGAAATTAAGAGTGTGACATCATTTCAGCAAGGGAGGTCTTACATTGTGTCCTCAGTTAAAAAACCTGCTCTTGACATCCCATATGGTCAATCCAGAGAGCAGTTTTGGAACAATCGAAAACCCTCAGCAAGTCGTGTTCGAAAAAGTGAGGTCGAATTATTCAAAAGATCAGAATCACCAAAAAATGCTCCTAAAAACAAGCCCAGAGTAATAACCGTGATAAACAATGAATACAGGGACAAAAGAGAAAAGTTTTACATCAATCCTAACACTAGGCATAACTTTGAGGATTTACTGCTCACCATGGGGGACATGACAAATATCGATATACATGCTTTGTATACTGAAAAGCAACCTCATAAAAAGGTTAGTATACTATCCCGAAATCAACATTTAATTCTACCACTGGGTATTCAAAACTTTGAAAATCGTACAGATTATACTTTAAAGAACAGAAAAGTATTTTAAATCACAACGATTTTATAATAATTTGGCGAAGTAGTTTTGAAGAATTAATTTCTATCACTTCTAATATGTGCAGTTCATAAGATGAGTGAAACCTTAAATATTTACTATTTTCACAGGTTGAGAGTTTCAGCCAATTATTCAACGAGTTTAAAAACCAGGATAATTTTATTGCCTGTGGACCAGAATTAGAACCTCTAAAACCAGAAAATGTTAAACGCCCTGCTCCTAGCAGCAACTCAGGAAGTGATTCCATGAGTGTGGCTAGTAGAATGAAAAAGTTCCACAAAGCAAACGATGGAGGTAATCTCTCTCTCTCTCTCTCTCTCTCTCTCTCTCTCTCTCTCTCTTTTAGGAAGAAATACATGTAGTACTACATTCACAGTCCTTCTTCAGAGATAAACCTATTTGCAAAATTTTCCAGCACGCTTTATCATAAATATTGAAAGATTTATAAAGAATATCTATAAAAAGGTTTCGGAGACAAAAACACAAAATACAATCATTGTATTACGAGCATTATGGAGCAGCATTAAAAAAAGATATAGTGATAACTAAAAAGACATGATGCTTTGAAATATTAACCATGGAAAGTAACCACACTTCTAGTTTCAATAACCATGCATGAAACTGTGTTAATTAATCATTTAAATATAGTTTGTAATATATCATGATTAAATTACCCAGAGTTGGATGAAATTGATGAATATGGCATGCAGCATTCTCCGTCGCCTCAGGAGGGAATACTGAATGGGGTACCTGTTAACGGGTATCAGGAGCCAATCTCAGCCAGACATTTCGAGGAGGACGACAGCGTCAAGTTCACCATACGGGGCAGAGTCAGAGGTTAATAATACAGGCTTCTTCTAAGCACTGTTATCATGTGTAATCCATACTTCTTCTTAGCATTGATATGTGCAATAACCTGTAAATAAAGTTTTGTTATTAAACATAGAAAAGAAACATGAGCAAATTTATCGCTAAGATTCCTATGCTTTCACAATTTAATTAAGAAAATGTTTTCAGCAAAAATATTATCTATTTATGCTTGATTCTATGAAACTTGCAGCATGTTCTTTTGAATTTTAGCCATTATAAGTTTTGATATCATTTATAGAATATTTCCCACCATCCATTACCTACCCCGACGACGATGGACAACGACCGGACAAAAAGCTGAAATTGGAATGGATGTATCCTTAATATAACCTCGTTTATCTCGATATTTCTTCATAAGAACATAGATTTATGTGCATATAGATTACTATCATAAAAATACTAACCTATATTATTATTTAAGTTGACCTTGACCTTTATCTTAGTTACGGTTTCCATGCACGTGAGGGTTGTAAAAGCGTGGTGGTGTATAGGACGGGTGAACTTCTGTATTATGTGGCGGCTGTGGCGGTCTTCTTCCGGCGGAATGAGGACAGGGGCGACACCCAGCGGCATTATCTGGGTCATACGGAGGACATTTCATGGTACGACTTCTGGTATAGAAGGTATTCTTGTAAAAATAAACGATTGATATGTAACTGAAAAGGATTGAACATCATTTCTTATTTGCAGCCTCGAGCTACATCCTTCCGAGAACTTAATAGCTTCGGGACAAATTGCGGGAAAAGAAAATCCAGTAAGTAGCTACAGTTTATTTGTTAAGGACAGTCTTATTTTAATGCCTTAGAACCTACGATATAACCCTATTTGTTTTTACAGAAATGCGCCATACACCTTGTATACAATATTATAAACCTGGTCAGGAACTACCTTGTACAAACATGATGGAGCACACTTAAAATAGGTTTCTTTTTGCCAAGAAAATATTTTTGAAAATAGATTTCTTGATCGCTTTAGTCTAAAATCGAAATTGCGAAAGAGCACGAACTGTGCTTATGAATTTGGTCGTTGACGTTTGTGGAAATTAAATTCCCCTGAATATTGCATTAAAGTGAAGACCAGTATGTTACATCTCAACGAGCAAAGGGAAAGTCAATTTCGATAATATTCCACAAAGTGCACTTAAACCGCATCACCTTTCATCCAAATTCAAATTTTACTTTTATGACATAATGAAAGGCTAGTTTATTACCATAATTAGCAGCCTTATTGAGAAAGATATTGATGGATCAATATTTAATATGCAATCAATATAATTTAATTAGACTGTATCAAATAAACAAGATACGTAGTATGATAATCCGGAAGTGTCACATCCGAAACGATATTCTATTCCTCCTCATCAATCTAGTAGGCAGTAAAAAAAAAAACACGTTATTGAACGCCAACACCTAAAATGTTTCATCAATTGAATTCATTAAACATATCATTAGTTGTCTCGCTGGGCTTATTATTAAAAGTAGGTTTCAGGCTCAAAATATCAAGGTGGACAGGGACTAAGCTTGAGATAGCATTTAAAAGAAAGGGGCATATGGTTTGAACATATTTTATTGCATAAATACTATACAAAGAAAGGAGCATATACTATACCAAGACGAGAAACTGATATGACATACAAAGCCTCGGATAATCATCAAAGAAAACACACTCATAAATGATATACCCTAAAAGCTTGATATTCTTACGGCTATATTTTTATTGATTTTCAGGAATAAGCCTTAATGTAACATTTTTCTCTGAACTTTATACAATAAAAATGAAGATTATATCTTATTAAGTTACATGAATTGGCTTTAAAACAAGAGAACGGGACAAAAGGTGAGGAAGGAGGGGGAGGTGGTATTCGCATGTATTAACGAGAATCGTCTGTTTATCATAAATCAAATTGGAGGCACCAAACTTTGATGAACATTTTATTTCGTGGATCGACTCGACAATGAAATCCATGAAATTTGATTCTCACGAATATTAATTAAATCACAACTAGTACATATATAAATTATGGCAAATCCATATTTTTAGCCTATATAATAATTCATCTTTGTACTTTACTTATCTATTACGTAGGCCCACGTCCGCATCTGGGATGGAGAAAAATTGACCACGCATCATGTGATTGGGATAAGTTTTTTTACGAATGGAATTGCTTCTATCGGATTTTCAGAACAGGTAATAACGATGCAGGTACTGTGTTTAAGTAAAATTTATATTTTCAGTATTAAATTTACGGCATGTTTTTAAGCCATTTTTAGCTTTTAAGCACATTGATGATAAGCATTATGTATTTTAAAAGCATTATTTTAATAAAAATTGTTTGAAGCCATGCAATAGTTTTACATTAAATTTGAAAACATTATAATTGGAGGGGATCAATATTTGCAGATGTTTTGGATCACACTAACCAACGAATTTATATTTCACGCACGGATATATGTCACATGTACAGGAACAAAAGTACTAGTACACTAATCATGAAATTGCTTCTCGAGATACAGTGCTTTTGGTTGCCCACAAACTTTGAATTGAAATAATTAACAGAATATAAATCAAAATAATGAATAGTCAAAAAATGAATATATCAACTCCATGACAAAATCAAAACAAGGTACATTTCTAGAATATACCGTATATAAAAAAATGTGTTGAAACCAAATTTGCATATACTACACCTTTGAATGTCTTTGCCTGATGCATTTATTTGAAGTAAAATAACGTTTCATTTTACTTCTTTGTTCCAAAAGAAAGACTGCTTATTAGTAGCTTATCA